TTTGTTTGTTTGTTTGTTTGTTTCTTTGTTTGTTTTTCTCTCTCTCTCTCTCTCGCGCGCTCTCTCTCTCTCTCTCTCGCGCTCTCTCTCTCTCTCTCTCTCTCTATCGGCTGATCCCCCCTCCTGCACCAGCCTACAGTCGGGAATGTTGCTTGGCGTGTCGCCGTGCGGCACCCGTGGCGACAGGCTGTGCCCTGCAAGCGCACGGCGGGTCGCTCCGCTCCGCGGGGTGCGGGGCTGGGAACAGGCCCGGGGCCCTGAAGCTTGGGGACTGGGACGCGGTTAGCGGTTCGCGTACCGCGCCGAGGCGTGGTGGGCCAAAACCGGCGGCGCGGCCGACCGTATCCTTACGGCAGGCCCGCGTCGTGACGACGTCAACGACGGCTTCTGACGCCGAGGGGATCGCTCGACCTCGAGCGCTCGCGGCGTTCCGATGGCGCAGATCGCTCGGCATCGGCCGGTTCCGAGCTGGCGGCGCTCCTCCTGGAACGCCCGCGCTCGGGTCGCCGCCTCGTCGACACGACACGAACCTGCCCCATCATTACCCGAGGGGTGACAGCAGAGGGGGACCGGCCACAGGGGCGAAGGGGGGGCAGGTGATGCATGCCGACGGATCGGCGATGGGCCCCCGTTGGCCACGCCGCGAGCTGCTGGGCGGGGTGGGCAGTCGGGCCCTGGTCGTGGAAGAATAAAAGAGTGGCATAAAGATCAACTGTTGGCGCTTCGCGCGGAGCGCCACAAGTTTCTGTTTATGGCGTCTTTTCTCCTTCGAGAGCGGCGATGCATGGGCGATTGGGGGTCGGTGTCTCCCCACACCCCCCCCTGGGCCTATATTTCCTCGTCCACCCCCTCTGATTCCCGCACTGTCCTATCCTCTCCCCTGCCTCTCGCACTTTGAACCTGCGTGCGCTCAGCGCCCTGCCACGCGCCCCAACAGAACCCCGGTCCCCCCACACTCCCAAACCCACCCTGATCCTGACACAAACCCTGGCCCAGACCCTGACCCTGACCCCCCCAAACCCTGACGCAGCCCACCCTGACCCCGACCCCCAAACCCACCCTGACCCCGACCCTGACCCCGACCCCGACCCCCAAAGCCCGACCCAGCCCGCCCTGACCCTGAGCCCAGCCTGGCCCTGAACCCGAGCCCTGACCGTGATCCGAATCCTGCCTGCCACGCCCTGCCGGACCAGACCTCCCCCCTCTGGCTCGGAGGACCAGCGCGGGTCTTGCGCGAGCTGGCGAGCAAGCAAACAGCAAATCGCACGCTCGTCAAGGGGGAACAGGCGGCCGGTCTCCCTGCTTCTCCGTCTCCCTGCCTATCTGTCTTTGCCTCTTCCTCTTCTCCACTCCTATCCCTTCTCCCCTCCAACCGTCCCTCCATCCATCCATCCCCCGCCCTCCTCCATCCCCTCCACCCTCCTCTCTCTCTCTCTCTCTCTCCCTCTGCGTTCTCCACCACATGAATACATCACTACCTCCTCCCTCGCGTTTCCCTCCTCCCCCTCTTCCTCGTCTTCCTCGGTCTCCCCCCCCCTCCACCTCCTCATCTTCCCCACCAATCTGAGTCATCATCAACTGCAAAAAGAGTCGAGCAAGAGCCTCATCTTGAAATCAGTCGTTCTCCATCCGTGAAACTGTCGTACACGATTACGCTCCATGCAGTGAAGCTTGAGTGAGCATCTAGCGAACGCCCCATTCGGAAAGCAAACCGCCCTCGAATCGTGAACCGTCTACAGCCACTGAATCATATGCACGGCGCAGACGAGAACCGCACCTTGCAAACAGCCTGTCCTCGAACCGCAAAAGTTGTTACCAACTGTTGAACGACTGCGTGCGGCGCTTATGCGAGAAAACGACTATGTGTGGCGCTCATGCGAGAGCCACATCTAAAAAAAACTGCACGCGGTCCCTCCGTGCAGCTGGGGAGATCTGTTGAGAGCTGCGCGGCTCGAAGGCGAGAGCCGCATTCTGAACATCATTTAGATCCGTGTGTGTGTGGCTACGTTTGTACCTTCTTCATCCTCGAGGTCATGAACTGCCGGGGGGGCTCAAAGAAAACGCCCGCCCCCCCCCGCCTTCTCAACGCTTCTGGTGTTCCGACGGCGAGGGTACTCATTCGGGAGAGGGACGGAGGAGGAGGGACGAGGGAGGATGGAGAGAGGAGGAGAGGAGGGGGGAGGAGGGGACAGGAGGGGAGAGGAGGAGAAAGGAGGGGGTGGAGTACGAGTGGGTAATCGACGCTAAATCGATTCTAACCGACGCTAACCGACGCTGAATCGGCCCTATCTCGTCGACTCCCAGACGTTAGCGGACGCTAGCCGACGCTAAAAACGGAACTACAAGGGAACACAGGACTCCCATGATTTGCTACCGAACCACCCCAAATCCCCCCCCCTCCCCCACCACCTCCTCCTGCTCCAGCTCCACCCCCTCTCCCTCTCAACCCCCCCGCGCCGCCGAGCTCGGCCACCACGCTCCAGAGAGCGACCCTGCGCGAGGTGTGACCTCCTCTGGCGCCGCATGCGGTGCGATGGCAGCTGCCCGCGGCCCTCTGGGCGTGGCCCCCCCCCCCCAAACCTCCCCAGACAGCCGCGCACCGCAGGCCCCTCCGGCGATCATCGGGGCCCCTCGGCCTTCGGGTCGTGACCCCGGCCTTCGGCGGCCGCTCGGGGCGATCCGGACGCCCCCGGCACGCTCGCGGCGAGGCGCAACTGCGGGAGCGCACCCCGGGGGCAGGAAGGCCTCGAGGAGCCTGCGAAAAGACGCCCGAGGGCGACGCCGAGAAGCCCACTCCCCCAGACGCCCGACCCCTCGTGATTTCTTGTTCGCGGCGTGGACCTCCAGAGGTGCAGGTCCCTTCCCCAGGACCGGCTTTTGATCCTGACTCGTCTTTTGACGGCCCGAGGGCCCAGCAGGGGCCCCCCGGGGGCCGAGAACCGCTAAAAGCCTTCCCTCGCGACTTGTTCGCCCGAGGGCCCAGCGAGGGCCCCCAGGGGCCGACAGTCGCTGAAAACCCTGCATCGCGATTGGAGCACGGCGCGGGGGAGGCTCTGGGGCTCCAGCGAGAGCAGCCCCGCGACGCGAAGCGGCCTTCCCCGGCGTGTGGCCGCGGTACGCCGCCGCCGGGCCTCTGCCGCCCTGCGGACGGGCAACTCTTGGGCTGGGGGGGGGATCACGTAGCTCGGGGGGGGGGCACCTCGACCTCTTGAAGCAGCCACACACCGCCGATCGATCGGCGACAGGTCCCCGATGACGGATCCGCACGCTCGTGGACGGGCGGGCTGCTGGCCCGCCCCGCCCGACAGCCTGTGGCTGTCGGGCCTGTGTCGGCGATCAATGGGCAAGTGGGGGTCGATGCATCCCCCCCCCTGAGCCTATCTAGAGGCCTACCAGATGGGGTCGGAAGAGATGGGGCCAGAAGATCGTGCCGCGTCGCCGATGCACCGGCAACATCGGCATGGAGAACATCGGGCTCCACATCGAGCCGCTCTGGCGATGCATCGGCGATACGGCGCGATCCTCCGACCCCATCTGCTCGGACCACATCTGGGAGGCCTTTATGAGGGGGAAGGGGATCGAGGATGCAGGAACACTGAGCTCAGATCGAGGCTCGAGGGCATCGAGGGATTTACTGGGACCCCATCAGGGAGGCCTGGACCACCCCCCTGTCCACCATTTCGGGGGCGTCCAAGAGTGGGGCGTCCAAGAGGGGTGGGGCACAAATCATGGCCAGCGGCATGTGCGCGACCCAGGGTTGGGGCCAGGGACGTATTGAAATGAGAAGGGGCGCCATGAAATCTAGAAGATATCATGGCCCCCACCATGATGCGGTAGAGGGAAACAATTAGTGGACACTCGCCCGCTCCCACTAACTCAAAGTTGGCACGCGCGGGGGAAACTGCGGTCGAAGTGCAACTCATCAGACCTACCGCCAACTTTGAAGATTTGGGGGTGAGGGGAGGCGTTGACCGATGAATGCCGCACGCGTTATGGCTATCTTTTCCCCAGGCCTGCATCCCCCCCCTAGTCATCACCCCCCTCTTGTAGGGAAACAAACAATGACATAAACAGAAAACCTCGCAGGTCCGCGCGGATTTCTCGGATCGGCGTTGGACCCCCCTCCCTGGCGCGCGCAGCGCGCCACGGGCGGCGCCGGAGGCGCCGCCAGGGGGCGCCAGCGCCGATCCGAGAAATCTGGCTCCCTCCCGAATGTTTGTATGTTTATGTCATTGTTCAATCCCCTATCTTTAGGTCGGGCGTGTCCACCTGCAGGCGGAATTTGGACGAAAAATAAAGCATACCAAAACATATTCAATAATAAAAGAAAAATAAAAAAATGTCAAAAAATCACCCCCGGACTATTTTTTGACTATTTCTCAAGATTCCTCCTGTAGAGGGACAGGCCCGACTATCTTGGCCGCCCCCCAGCCCTTGCCCGCCACCTGCGCCCTGCCCGGCGGCGCGCTGGGCGCGCGGGCGGTGCGCGGCGTCTGCCCGCTGGGCGGCGGCGACCTCCGCGGCGTCGCCAGAACGGGCGCGGCCGGACCCGGCGTGCGCCTGGGGGCCCTCCTCCTCCCTCCTCCCTCCCCTCCTTCTCCTCCTCCTCCTCCTCCTCCTCCTCCTCCTCCTCCTCCTCCTCCTCCTCCTCCTCCTCCTCCCCCTCATCCCTCCTCCTCCTCCTCCCCCTCCTCCTCCCCCTCCTCCTCCCCCTCCTCCGCCCCTCCTCCGAGGCCAGAGAGCCCTGGGTAATCTACGGAAATGCCCGAGAACCTCTCTACCTTCAGGGGCGCGCGCTCTCAGAGGCCACCTCGGCGGCCTCCGACGCGGCCCTGCCTCGGCGGCCTGCGGAGGCACGGCGGCCTGCGGAGGCGTGCCGCGGCGGCGGCCCCGGCGACACGCTGGCATGCCCTGCGAGCCAGTGACGGAGCCGCTCCGCTCCGCGGGGCGGGAGTCGAGTCGAGTCGAGCCGCGTCCAGCACAGAAAAGTACGGGCCCCAATGAAGGGGAGGGCGGCGTGCTTCTACCAGGCAGGCGAGGCGGGAGGCCCCGGGAAAGGCTCGGGACGTTGACGCTTGGGGTAACCATGGGATGGGGAAGCGGTTCGCGTGTCAAGCCGGAGCGTTGTGGGCCAGAACTGGCGGCACGACGCCCTGGGCCAAAATATCCGACCGCAGGCAGCCCCTCCTCCTCCTCGCCCTCTCCCTCTTCCTCGGCCCCCCCCTGTCCCCCTTCGCCCCCGCACTCTTCCTTGCACACAGCTCCTCCCCGTCGATCCTCGTCGCAGCGCCAGACGCGTCGGTGGGGCGGGCTGGGCGTTTCGCGGGAGACATCCTCACCACTCGTGTCCCTGGATCTGGGGATGTCCCACAGTTGCACGAACGGAGGGCGGATGGTACTAAGAATGAGGCTATCGTTTTAGGCCACCGACGTCCACCACTGAAGTATGCAGTGTGCGTTCCGGCGCTTTGCATTCAGCTCGAAACTCTCTTCGCTTGAATTTTCCTGGCCTTCGTAGTTTGTCATGCTCTGCCGCTGCCCCGTCTAGGCGCGGCTTCTTCCTGCCCTGTCCTGGACAGATTCCGACAGCCACACGGATGGAAGGTGGGTCGTTTCAGAATGTGGTACTCGCCTTGGCTCTGCGCGCAGTCGTCCAGAAAAGTTCACAACCCATCGCGGCTCCGACGACGATACGACGACGAAGTCGTTCCCGAGGCGACCCGAATTCGATCCCCGAAACCATCGAAAACCTCCAAGGCCTCAACCCCCGAGGACTCCGAAAACCTCGATTTTCCGAGAACCCCCGTATCCTCGAGATTCGATCTCTCGTGGTCCCCGCTGGCCCCCTGGAGGACTCCAAAGGCATCATAAAGCCCCAAAGGCACAAAAAAAGACCCTAGAAATCAACTCCCGATCCTTGATGATCCTCGGGAAGCCCAGAAATAGTTGGGGGAAACCACATGGGGGGACTGGCTCGGGGGGGGGGGAGGTCGAGCTGGAATCGGCGACCCGTCGCCCATGATAGGGAGCCCACAAAAGACGTACGCGCCCAGCTATGTACATGAACACGGCCCCTCGATCCGCGAGACCAGCCGCGTTACACGAACATTTGCGCAATGCGTACTCTCGAAACCAACGTGGATTCATGTACGTGTACGTCCTTCTGTCGCTCCTGACATAAATCGGCGACGGGCCCCCGAGAGCTGGTCCGCACGTTCCTGTGCGGGCTGGAATATCAGGCCCCCATCGGCGACGAACGGGCGATCGGGGGTCGAGGCGTTCCCCCCCTGGGACTACAGGGGGGGCCAGCCCACTTCCACAAGAAACCCAACCCTGAGACACCCAGGCCGTCCACTGTGCTTTCGGCGTGGGAGCGTCGCGCTTTCCACGGCAAGACCGTCGAAGCCCAGGTAACCCAGGGCACCCTGAAGGCAAGCGGAGTGTTTCTGGGCATGGGTCTCCACTGCATCCCCCACCGCAACGCTGCCCCTGCAATGGGGGGGGGAGGCGCCTGCCCCAGGGCTGCCGCTCGGCCGCCACGCCGCGCGGCGTCTGGGCCCGCGGGGCCTCGCTGTGCCGCCTCGGCGCCGCCCCCGCGCGACTGCCAGCAGCCTCCGCGGGCCGCCGCGGCCGCCGCCGTCGCCCTCCTCCTCCTCCTCCTCCTC